ATATATATATATATATATATATATATTGTATGTTATATATAAAAATTATACAAATTTCATACACTTTTTTGACTATCAAATATAAATAACTTATGGCACGAGCTAAAAGTGATAATACCCAAAATAGAATAGAGGGAAATCTTATGTTAATTGGTGCGGGAGGAGGAGGGAGAGTTGTCTAAGTTTGATTCAAATTTGATATATACTGTCCAAACAGGTCAACCCAACCCAATTGAATAAGGAAGCTCTTACTTGGGGCATTTGCATCTATACCCGCTTTTTGTGTCACGTTTTAACTTGTGCCCGCTTTGCAAAAACAATTACAAGCGTACCCGCTTTTTCGCATAACTTCAGCATACGGGGCTGAAGTAGCAAAGGCAATCACGCAAAACTTCAGCATTCTAGTAGCCGGGCCTGAANCAGACTTTTAATTTTCAATAAAAATTCATAACTCAAGTTAGGGACCTCGTGATTCCTACTACCTGGTCTCATACACATTCTTGGCATCTTCTCCAATGTTCAAGAAAATAAGGAAAACATAAAAAGGAACTCTGAACCTTGTCCTGTAAAAGAAGGGAATAAATTATAATGCACTCAAAATTTATGCGACATGAAAAGGGCGAAGGGAGCAGCACGCCAATTTTGAAATGTCTATTCGATTAGTGAATCTCTTGGGAATCATTTAAAGATAAAATCGTATATTATATACACCTTAGACAATAGTAATGTAATATGCTTACATATAATGTGTTTTCTCTAACGCTCTCCCCGGACAAGCTAGGGGCATTTGCATCTATACCCGCTTTTTGTGTCACGTTTTAACTTGTGCCTGCTTTGCAAAAAAAATTTCAAGCGTAACCGCTTTTTCGCATAACTTCAGCATACGGGGTTGAAGTAGCAAAGGAAATCACGCAAAACTTCAGCATTCTGGTATCCGGGCCTGAAGTACAGCTCTAGAGCTGAAGTTTTTGTTTTGTAACTCGCGAACTTCAGCTCTAGAGCTGAAGTTTTTGTTTTGTAACTCGCGAACTTCAGCTTAAGAGCTGAAGTTTTTGTTTTTGTGTTTTTGTTTTGTAACTGGCAAACTTCAGCTCTAGAGCTGAAGTTTTTATTTGTAACTGGCGAACTTCAGCTCTAGAGCTGAAGTTTTTGTTTTGTAACTCGCGATGTTTTTGTATTTTTGTTTTGTAACTGGCGAACTTCAGCTCTAGAGCTGAAGTTTTTGTTTTGTAACTCGCACTTCAGCTCTAGAGCTGAAGTTTTTGTTTTTGTGTTTTTTGAGTAATATGTATGTAATGTTATATTAATTTGATTGATATTGTCACACCTGTGCTCTGTTAAGAATTCTACTCTTTTTGTAATTCAAGTTTCAAGTGTTTTACTTTAATCTGATTCTACAACTGTGGAAGACGAGTTTATCATCACTGGTGTCGTTGTAATTCTGCTTCTAGAGGGACCTTCTACTGTTTTGTAATTCTTGCTATGATATATTTCTTTCTCATCTTATGGATTCACTAGAATTTGTATAGACATTTATGCACCTGAGGCAAGGCTATTTACACGGCACAGTCCAGTCCACGGGAAAGAAGAAAATGAAGGAGGGGAAGGAGGGGAGAAAGTGGGCTGAACTTGTTTAAAAAGTGGGTACAAGTTAAAAGTTTTAAAAAAAGTGGGCATAGGTTAAATGGGGGCGACCAAATAGAGCGCCCCGTGCGATTTTTACCTCTTACTTGGGCTGGACAACATAAGTTAGCCCACAAGGCATGCACGGAATCGTGACTTGAGGAAACAATTCACTAGTTGATCTATAATAGAATCGAAAAAATATACATACATTTTGTATGTTATATACAAAAATTATACAAATTTCATATATTTTTTAACTACTAAATATAAATAGTTTTTGGCGCGAGCTGAAAGTGAAAAAAAACCCTATTAAATAGGGTCATAAGAGGGCGGGAACAAGTGTCCATCATCGGGGGGAACTAGAGAGAAACAACGCTATTAGTTAGCGATTGGAGTTTAATCTAGAAACATAACGTTAGATGAGTATGGACTATGGAGTAATAAAAATAGCCACCTGATTATATGAGTTTAGGTCTCGATGGTTGACATAAAAAAAACTTTAGATATTATGATATGAAGTTTAACAATATCACTATTATTTTCTACACAAATAACTATTCATTGTTTAATGTATATCTTTGTTATTGGCATCAAATATTTGACTAATGAGCACATTGTATTGAACGATCTATAGTTCAGATATGATTATTAACTTTTGAAGTTAAAGCTCCAAATATGACAATAGTCTAATGTCAAATGTCAGATATTCCAACTAAAGAAATTGTTCAATTTGATTTCAATGATCACATTTTGCTTATGCAAAAGTTCGATAAGAAACAAAGCCAATCAACCATTAAAATAACGTCTTTACGCAACTCAATTCCTATCCACAAAATGGAAAACCAAAAATAAACATTGAAGTAAAGTGGCTTTTTTAGTCAAATCCCTTTCAATCAATAATCTCATGAACTAACTTAAAGTTACAACTTTTGAAAAAATCACATGCCTTCACTTTATGCAAAGTCCAACTACACATTCTGAGAGGGAAAAGATAAGAAAAAGGTAAAATCAAAAAAGAAAACAAAACTTCTGCGCAATTTGAGATGAATAAGATCATTCAATGGTTTTAATTGGAGATTGGATTGCATATGTTGATCAATTGAACAAGAAAAGATTGAAATTTCAGCTCACACATTTCAAAATAAAATAAAATATTAAGGGCTTTGGTCATTTAACACATCAACAAATCATTGGATTAAGGGCTTAATACACTCTTAACGACGTAAAACCACACTAAACTCTTTTTAGTCTTTTTCCCAAAATAGGAAACCCCAAAAAAGCCTCTTTAGTATCGTTAAATTAGTTAATTACAAAATAACCCCAACGGCAAATTCGCCGGAGTAAGATCAATCTCAATCAAATTCTCTTCCTCAACTTCGCTATTTCTCTTGCAAAAGTCTAATTCAATCTCTATCAACTCTTCTCTATCTTCCTCCTCGTCCCACCGGAAACACGATTTCTCCGGCGAGTCCCAGTTTCCGATGACCGGCGAATCCCCGTCCGACGAACTATCCGTATCCGTTTCCGGGTAATACATTGATAACGACGCGTACCTCTGAATAATCCTTAACTCTTCCTCTCTCTTCTCCTCTGTACATTCCTCTTCTTCTCCTTCGTACGCTTCGTATATCACCTCCAACGGCGCCCTCACATTCCACTCCACAAAGCTGTCGCCGCAAAACGGTCTCGGTTCCGGGTCATACACCGAATCCTTTCCACAAACGGCATCCGTAGTGCACTCGACAAAGCAGTCGGAATCCCGGTCGGGTTTAGGTTCCGGGTCAAACACCGAATCCTTTTCACAGTTGGAGCCTACATTTGATTCGACGAAGCAGTTGTCATGAAACCGTATTGGGTCCGGATCCAGGTCGGGTTTAGGTTCCGGGTCAAACACCCAATCCTTTTCACAGCTGGTGCAATCATCATGGTAAGCAAAATCACGCGAAACTTGTAAAGATGGGTCCTTGGATTCGGGTTTTTTAGCTCTTTGAGCTGCACCGAGTTTGAGAAGGGAAAGTAATAAAAGTGAAGTGGAGATGAGGACTGGAGAAAAAGCAATGGTGGTGGGGAAGTAGAGGAGAATGAGAGTGTAGAGAGTGACTACGGTGGACATTAGAGGATGGGATGCCATAGGGCTGTGGAGTGGTTGTTCAGTGGGAATGGCATTTATTTTGGTTGAATTTTCTTCCATGGAAAGTGAGATATTGAATATGGAAGGAGGATTTAATTGTCTCGACTTTTTCTCTTCCTCCATTTAAGAGGAAATCAACATGGGAAGAGAACAAGAAAGAGTGGAAGTTCCATTGGAGTGATAGAATGAGCTTATGTATGCAATGCTTTGCACTGATCGGTATATATATGTGCTAGCTTCTATAATATATATACAGTCAAAGCCGGATTTAGAAGTTGAAGTCATTAATATATTTATTTAACATCAAAGAAACAAAAAGTGAGAGAGAAATACTATTGTATTGCACTTTATTTTTGGAACAAGAAGTGTCTATTTAGTTTTAATATATATGTACTCTCTCTCGTCCATTTTAAATGTCATTTACGGATCGTTTTTGTAGGATATATTAGGAAAAATAATGTAAAGCATGTATTTATTTTAGTATATTTAATTCCTTCTTTGATAATATTTTCCAAACAATGTATTAGTTATACACCATATTCAGTATTATACATAGCAAACAATGTTATTAGCAAACCATATTTTTTATACATGGATAAGGATGTATAATGACATAATTGTCTTTTCAAAACTTTTAATACGCCAAATCAAACAGTCGATAAGAAATAATCCCAACATAACTAATTTTTGCATTACTAATCTCAATGTTACTGATACATCATGTTCAGTACTATTCTTATACACCCTAAGCAAACAACCCCTTAAGATTTAAACACATTCATTAAAGAAAATTATTTTATAGCTTTAGTTGTAAGAATTGTTTGACTACATTATTCTTTATCTTTTTTCGAAATGATATAATAACTATTGGGAATTTTTCGGATAATTTGTTCTGAGCAATGATAAATTGGGGGAAAAAAAATTATTTTCTAATGTAACACTAATTTTGAACTGGATTTGTGTGACTAATACAAATGAAGTGAAGGTAATATTCGAGTCCAAAATTAAGAGTTCCATCAGATAGCACAAAGAAATACGTGTCTTACGTGTAAAAAGGGGTTCGATGAATAAAGTTTTCTGTATTCATGTAAGTATTAATTGCCATTTTTATCGCTTAAACTCGCAACTTATACGTCACGCGGAGAAAATATATATGCACCCTACATGTAAGTGACTTAGAAAAAGAAAATGGAGAAGTAAGCTTTGTGGGGATGGGATTAGTGGGACTGTGGGAGTGGTTGGGGGGGGGGGTGTGGATGGTTTGGTTTTCAAGAAAAGAAGTGTAGAGTATGGGACTTTGTAAAGTGAAATGCTGTCTGTGGGGCGTGGGGAAAAGAGTTAGGCATGGAATATCTAATTAGAGTTGGGATAGATATCACTTATTCAATGTTTCATCATGGTTTTGGAAAGTTAAATTGTTCTTTGTTACTATTAGTCTATTTCCAGCTACTATATTACTTTCCAAACATGCAACCAATAAATTCTTGATACATCCCCCTTCTATTTGTTCCTCTCCAAAAAATAAGGAAATTAGAGGGTTGTTTTTGTTTAACCAAAAAATGTTACGCTCTTTGATTAAACCAATTGATATTGATAAGAGGGGTGAATCTTAGTTAAGGATAATAAATTCTAGACCAAAAACTAAACGAAGTATGCAAAATGGAAGATGTTAATAAATATGTTTGAGTTGATTAAAATGCTCATAAATGCAACAACATAAAAGTGCAATGAATATAGATTAATGCTACTAGCATAACAAAAATGATTTACTTCCCCAAGTATTGTGGGACTCAAAAGATTCCTTCTTCTGACAACAATGTGGAATGAACGGAATAATATAGAGTTCTAGGATCTTTGAATCTCGTGAATATAGAACCAAAAATGTAGGTTCGAACAAGGTAATCAATGAATGAGACAATTTCAGTATATTCCCAGGTCAACTCTTTACATAAAGTGCTTTTTTCAAGAAGTGAAGATCCCTTTTGTTCTCTATCTCTTCCTATTTATAAGGGACATTTCTCAAAAACCCTAAAAAGTACAAAGCGAGGAATATCCTAAAGAATATTCCTTGTGTCTATATTTGAACTTAGGCTACCGTTGTCTCCTTATCACAGCTGCCCGTCTTTGGCATCAAACGTCTTGAAAGCAAACCTCAGTCGTCATACCATGGTCGACCCCGTCCTTTATCTTAATCAATGTTTAAAAGGCGGGGGCGTGAGGCGAGGCGTTTTACCTCTGACGAGGCGAGGCGTAAGCCCTGAGACATGGGGCGTAAGTCCCACGGATCTTTAAATTTTACTAATTTCAAAAATTTTAAAATAATATAAACTAAAATAATTATAAAAATTACATTAAAATCACAAAACTATAACGAATAATTTATTTAAAATATTCATAAATTATAATTCAACTATGAATAATACAAAAAGTATGACAACGTCGATACAACTCAAAATCAAAAGTAATGTATTCGATGCGAAATCTTATATGTATCTCTTAAGGAGTAATGAATCTTGAAAGAACTTCGATATTATAATTTGATTTTTTTTTTTAAAAAAATACTCCTTTTATTTAATATACTTTCTATTTGAAAGAGAATCTATATAAGAATATAATTCACAATTTAAATATGATTCTCTAGCATCATTTATTTTTTAAGTTTCGACAAGTTAATAAAGTGACACATAATTCACTATACTATATCATGATAACTAATTATTTGTAAACAGTTACTAGCTAATACTGAGCTATTAAATTAATAAGTATTGTATTTCGTAAACATGAAAAATAATATTTAGGAAAATAATTATAAAAAAATTTATGGACTAATATAATAAAGACATAACAAAAGTTAATAAATAAATACTTTTAAATGAAAGATTTATTTAAAATTTACTGTCATAGCAATCTTAGTGGATACCGTGCAATAATTTAATTATCACATAAAATGCTCTCAACTTAATGATTTATGATTAAGAAAAAAGTAATTTTGAATAGTTAACAATTTATTAAGAAAATTTGAGGATTTACAAGGTTAGTTACACACAATTGCATAAAGTTCTATTAGGCGAGCCCAGTACGCTGGGCGTCGGGCGTGTCCGAGGCGTAAGCCCCGACGGCCGAGGAGTAAGTCTCACGGAACTAAGCCCCACACATAAGCCCTAGGGGCGTTTTACGAGTGCCCCGCCCCAGGGCGAGTCCCGGGCGAGTCCCAATTCTGCCTTTTAAAATAGAGATCTTAATTATGCTTTACCATCGATAAGCCAAATTTAGACCTATACAGTTAGTCCCTCTGCTTGTTGAGGTCGTGGTCCTGCACGTCCTTGACAAGCGGACCTGATTTGCCTTCGTTTCAAAAGAATTTTGTCGTTGAATAAGCAGGGTCGACCCATATGGAGAGAACAACGCAACTGGTGGAGTCGTAATTGGTGTGGCTACCATGGGGTGACGTCATATCCACGCGCGTCATCATTATGCATCTTCCCGAGACAGCGTCTGCGTGCCTGTCGCTTTTATTCTGGTGTCATTGACAATCCTTTGCTTTGATTCTCGCGCCACTCAGCCCTATAAATAGACGGGAATTTTGTTTTTCAGATGTTTTCACCCTCCCTTCTCTTGCATGAACATTATTCTCCTTTGATCTTCTTTGCCAGTGTCGGCTTTTGACTTTGCTTTCACGATTCCATATCTCCCATTCTTACCCAGTTGTTACCCTCTTTTCCAGGTTTAGTAGTATACTTTTTATTTTCAAAATATCACAAACCCTTCGTATTCACGATGAAATTTCTGATGCCACTCCGTTATCAGTGGCCCTTCCTTCCAGTGGTGAGGATCTCATGGCTGAAGAGGATGGGGGTTTTCCTATTGTGGGGGAGATAGTCCCCAGAAACCCCTTATCTAGAAACGAATTTCCCAAGGAACCTGCTCCTGCTCCTACTCAGGTGATTTTCGAGACCGGACTGTCTCATATAGCTGAGCTTCGATCTACATATCGCATCCCTTCATACGTCGAGATAGTGCCGGCTGGTGGCAACATCGTGGAGGTCTATCGACCTGGATATTGTGCCTTCTATGTCTACCCTTTCTTCATTGGCTATACTATCCCACTCCTTCCGCTGGCGGAAGAATTTTGTCGGTTTTATAACGTCTGCACGACACAACTATCTCCGTACTTGTATAAAGCTTTTCTGATGCTGACGAAGTATGCGGAATTGGCTGGTTGTGAGGTCGACGTCCGCCACTTATTGCACTTATTCTCACCAAGTTTTTACAGAGGTACTATGATACATCTCCGGCGTCGTGGGACCAGAAGGCTGATAGACGGGATGGATGACAGGACGAATCGGAAGTTTTGGCACAAGTACTTTTTTACCAAAACCGAGCACTTGGTGGCGGACCCGACTGGGTTTCCCGAGCAGTGGAACCATAATCGTAAGTGTTTTTGGCATACGCTTGGTCTTCTTTTCATCCTTTCGCTTTCCGCTCATTTGTGACTTCTTTGTTTTGTTTTTTTTTTAGCGGAGAGGCGTGCACCCTCCCCTATATTTGGTATTGAAGACTAGGTGACTCGCGTGTTGCCCCACATGGCAAGTATTCGTGATTGGGCGGTTTTCTACAAACGCTTTGGACTGAAGGTCCCGTCTAGTAAGTGTTACTTCTGCTTCGGCCTTCTGTTGCTTGCCATTGTTCGTTGATCCGAATTCCTTATGATGCTAGGTCGACGAGCTTCAAAAAAGAAAGCTCCAGTGCCGGCATTTTGCCAGGCTATTGCACCGGCAGGGATGCAATTTACTTTGGCTGAGTCCATCCGTGGAGGTCGTACTCAAGCTCTGTCCACGGGGGATCCCCCCCCCCCTAGAGTATTGCTGCACGGGATGAGATCTCCTCCCGGCCTATCTACCATCTCATAGACGAATCGTCTAATGGAGAGGAGTCGCCGTCAAGAAAGAGGCGAAGAGTGGAACTTGGGAAGGCCGTGTTACGCCCCGTAATATTACGTCGATGTTATGCTCTACAGTATCAAGTTACGACAATGTTGTACCCTGAAGTATCGTACGTTAAATTTGTCATAAAGTAATTGACATCAGTCCAAGTAAAAGATTATTTGGATATTATCAGAATTTTGCTATTTAACAAGCGATAAATAAGTGTTATAAAGGATAAAGGGGTACACGGATTAAAGAAAATGAGTTTCGTTGGAAGTGGTCAATTTGGAATAAAATACGGGTCGAACGATAATACCCTGTAATTA